TGATGGTGGGCACTTGATGATAGTGTCCACTATCGTTGGACACTTGTTTATTTATCTTTACAATTTATAAGTCACTCAAGACCTTTCAGTGAGATCGTTGGCCTACGGGCGCAATCTCTCAGGTGGTGCACGGCCGAGTGGAAAACTATTTTAAAAGTCACTATTCTGATCCTATTGTTCAATTTTCAATTGTACTTATTTTCAGGGAGTTATTATTGGGGCTGAGACGAAAAAACTTCTATACATTGGAGTAAGAAACAAATTTTGTTTTGTTTGCACAAAATACAAAAGCAATGAGTCACAACCTCCTAAACATGAATGTTTTTTGAACTATAATGGACCCTCGACCGGAATGGAAAGTGACATAATCGTTGAAGGTTTTAAACGCAGCGAAGAAGACTATGGCCTAATATACAAATATTATATAGGAGATGGAGATTCTAGCGTGTTCCCTCACATTCAAGAAAGATGCAGGTGAGAGAGTAAATTGGTTATAGAGATCTATTACTCAAAATTGTAAATTAAAATGTTTAAGTGATGCAATAAAAGTTCCACTAAATAACTTCTTAATTATCACATTTACCATCTTGTGAGTAACAGTATAAGCGTAAATATATGTTTTAAAAGTGTTATAAGACATTTATTTTATTTACTTTCCATAACAGTTCCATATACTCTCGTCTCAGCAGACCTATAGACAAAGCGAATTTTTAGTTTCTTATGTAATTAATTACTGAATGAATGGTGATGATAATTTTTTCAAACTTTATAAAAAAACATATTTTACTAAACAAACTTGGTTCGCCAACACGTTCAAGTGTATGTTGGTTATTACTGTGTAATGCTATTGCTACTACTGTTAATTTTTGTTACAGGTATGGCAGATTTGTAAAAAAAATCGAGTGTGCCAACCATGTTACACGAGCTCTCAGTGACCAACTCCATAAACTAGCAAATAACACCAGCTACCCTATTGAGTCAAGAAAGCTACTGTCTTCCGCCACTGAAGGGGATGTAGTAACCCGCTTGGAAAGATTGGTAAAAGGGGTCAGAACATCCATTAAGGAATATGGAGTTAACAAAAGCCCTGAAGACGTAAAAAACCTACGATATGACATAAAAAACTCTGTCGATCACGTATTTGGAAATCACGTCAAGTGTCGGGGGGGCTTTTGCAACAGGAAAAGTGAAGAAAACACTCTAAATAAAATCAACACTCACTTCCTGACGGAAATAAGGAAACTTATTGGAAGAGTTGAAGCTAAGGCAGAAAGCCTGGTCTTCAATCAGACAACTAACAGGGCAGAACAATACATGGCTCTTGTCGCCAAGTTTACTGGCGGCAAACGCACGAACCTGTCGTTCCAGGGATCTTACAGACTTCGATGCTTGGGCGCCGGGCTGTCTCACACCAGTGGCCCTAGTTGGCATCTTAGCCCAATGAGACGACTTATGATGAAAAGTCCAGGGAAAATCACTAAATCCTACATGTTGGCCCGAGAAAGACGACGTTTAAAGAGACGCCTAAACTATGTACAAAATGGCGCTCCTAAGAAAAAAATTCGCAAGGGGGGCAACTACGACCGTGAGTATGGTCCTCTTGTCGTTGAAGCCGATGTAGAGGAAGATGTATTAGAACAAAAGAAGAATGACATTCTTCAACAATTGGCCTCTGATGACAGGGTAGAGACCGAGAGGCTGACTGTGGGGCAACATGGCAATGCCTGTTGGCAAGAAAAGCGAATGAATCGGCTGACAGCTTCAAAATTTGGCGTCGTTGCCAAACGATTGCCACACACATCCTGCCACAACTTGGTTAAAGAAATTCTTTATCCACGAGACCTGAAATCACAGGCAGTTTTGTACGGCAGAGTCAACGAGGAAACTGCCATAAAGCAGTATGAACTGTTGACACTGTCTACAGTTGACAAATGTGGACTTTTTATTGATGCTGACCATGCCTACCTCGGGGCAAGTCCTGATGGTCTCGTTGGAGAAAATGGCCTGGTGGAAGTCAAGTGTTTGCCTTCCGTCAAAGATCAAACCCTGGAAGAGGCTATCACAAGTGGCAAAAATAAAGATTTTTGTTTAGAACGAATAAATAACACCGTCCAGTTGAAGCGGAAACACAATTACCACTACCAAATTCAAGGTCAATTGCATATCGCAAATAGAGAGTGGTGCGACTTCATTGTTTATACGTCATCAGCACCACTGTTCATTGAACGTATAGACCGTGATGACGACTTCTGGCAAACAAAAATTTACCCTAAGGTAATTGTTTACATTATGTTATATGTACGGTTTATAAGCGTCTATTGCTACGACATAGTGCCGTAGCAGACAAATGTGTAAGGGGTAGACATTTGTCAGTGCAAGCGGGTAGCTTTATCTTGAAGCTATCGATCAATATTACTTGCTTTTAAATGAACTGTGATGTTTCAAAACCAATAATGTGGGAGCCTGTAGCATGCAAATAATGGAAATAAATGGTAGAAAAGACAACACATTAGACAAAATAAACACAATGATTAAATATAATTACTTTAGAAGGATTTATTAGATTAAAATCAATGTTCTACTGTATTATTTTTACATAATCTTTTCCGAAGTCTTGCCAGATCGAAAAACGCCGGTTAGAGGAAGTTTACTATTTCAAAAAATAATATCAGTATTAATTTATTATATCTATTGAACATAAGTATTTAGCAATAAGATTTTAATTTTTTGTTAACATACTTGCTGCATATTATATTTTACACCTCTTTGGTTATAAATAAATACATGTGTATGAACTTATTACAGGTAACTCAGTTCTTTTTGGAGTGTATGCTACCAGAGATTGCTAACAGTCGCATCCAGCGTGGCCTAAAATGTAGGGACCCACCATACATAGTGGAAGCGAAGGAAAGAAAAGAGAGAAACTCAAAGACGAATAAATAGTGAATAAATAGACATTAATCATATTTGACGATCTTATTTTGATTGATTGTGCCGTTTTTATGTATGTATGTACATTTGTAAGTTAATGTGTAAATATTTGTTATAACATATTTGTTTACAGTATATTAAAGCTGTGTGTTAAAGCACAAATTATTTATTTACTATTATTCATACTTTATTATAACTGAGATAATAGATGAGATCTTTATATGAGAGAGAGATTTCTTCGCGTGGCCGAGAAATCGACATGCAGTGTGTGCTGTGTGGTGTGAGGTAGCGACTAGGTAGGAGAGTGGCATTGGACGCCTACAGCTCACGCACACAAACACACTCTCTCAGCGCTGCCCCCGAACGGTCCTCCTAGCGCGCGTGGTGGAGAACTGTTGAACTAATGCTCCTCACCGTCAGACTAGCCTAGCCACCAAACACCCTTAATAAAAATTACCTGTTTACTTAGGCCTACTTGTTTATTCTGTTTATAAGTTAAGTTTAGGCCTACTGATTATTGCCGTTTTGGCTTCTGATTTGGCTATAATGAAGGTTTACTAATTGAAATAAAATAGTTCTGTTCATAAAATAAAACTATAAATGCCTCAAATTCAATTTTATATTTTTTATTATAAATTAAACTAGCCTAACTTATTATAGCCTAACTTATAATAGCCTAACCAAACTTGCTGACAATGTAAAATCGAATGAAGGTTTACTAATTAATCGAAAAAATAGTTAACTTATGTTTATAAAATAAAACTATAAATGGCTCTAAATCATTTTTATAATGTTTTAATTATAACATCAAACTGTCATAACTTAGCCAAACTTGCTGATAACAAAAAATCTTAGACAAAAAGAAAGTGCAACTGAGAGGATTCGAACCCGGTCCTACAGATTGCCAGCTCAACACGCTAACCAGTAGACCACCGAATCACTTGGTCTCTTACTGAATCGTTGCGGTAATGATCTTCCCTCAAGCCCAAGCCAATCAAAATATGTACTGCATTCGTCCTATACGCCAGGAACTCCAATTGAAATAAAAATTATGCTTCCCATCCAGTATATACGACGTGTACTCAACACTTAATGATACTACGACTACAATCAGCTGGTGCACTGGTGCAGTGTTTACTAATCCGTTCAACGCTTGGGTTTAACCTAACCTAAAAACGTGTTGAATATTGTTTGAAAGGCTAATTATTTAAGTTATAGGTATGCTTTATAGTGACTGTAGGAAAAATATAATGTGTAACACGAGTGAAAAAGGCCTTTGCTGCACTCGAGATCATTCCGCACTCGCCGCTCGTGTGCAGCAAAGTGCCACTTTCACCACTAGTTACACAAATAACTATTTTCTGGTGACAAACATAATTACGAAGATAATACAAAACAACATAGACTACATCATTAAACAAAAGAAACATGTTAAATTTAATTGAAAACTTTATTAAACTGTATTACTTTTAAACTTTAAATAGCTTGGGCATTCAAAATGCCCCTTTTGCGCATGCGCTAGACAAAACTCCCGCCGCGGTAGTCTCAAAAAATCGCTCAGCAGGCGGACGTGGCGGACACTACCGCGCGGGCGCGTGGTAGTGCGGTGTGACTTGGCACATTTGATAATATGGTGAGCGATTTTTCAAAATTCGCTCCCGCCGCGGGAGCAAGCTCGGTGTGACTTGGCCTTTATTCGGACACCTTTTAACCGGACATCAGTTTAACCGGAATGCACTCGGCGGAAATTATCACATGTCTAAATACAATGCTCTCCTAAATTTAAGTCAAATACGCATTTAAACAATCTGTTTTTACGAGTTTTTGGGGACGTCGGTATAACCGAATAACCTGTTATCCGGACTGGCCTCGGTCCGGAGGTGTCCGGATAAGAGGGAGTCTACTGTACTTTTGTTCTGTCAAATTTTTATTTTTACTGTGTTAAATTGTACAGTACAACTTAGGTGATCTTAGATTTGAACTTAGATCTCTTGGCTATGATGGGAGCTCCAATGAAGGCCTTAATTTAAAAACCACCATCTTCATATGTTAATTTATTATTTTTCCAGGCTGTAGGAGGAAATATAATGACAGGGAGTCCCATTTCTGATCTCAACCCAATTTTCATGGCTGCCGGATGCGAACTGGAACTAGTTAGCCAAGGTATTAATTATTAAATTTTTCTTTTAAATACTTTTTTGATCTAAAATAACTTTGCTGCAGTTTGTCCTAAAGCAATTGTGGCACCTTGAAACATCGATCTCCACATACTACATTAGGACATTTTTTTATAGAGTTCAGCTATATTTCAATTTCCTTTGGTAATTTACAAAATTAAATATAAGACGAAGTAAAAAGATTGTATTACAATGGGTCAAAGTCAAATTTCATTTACCCGTCAAAAGTTATTTTAACATTGAAAATAGCAGCTTTGTTATTTTACATGATAGCCTAGTCACAAATTTCAATTTTTTTACTTTATTTGATACCATAAATAACACTGAATTTAGTGACATTTTCACATTTGACATATTAAAAAGGATCATCATTTGGCATTTTAACGTTAGAAAAACCGTTTTTTTACATTTTGTACTGACTATGAGAAGCTACCTGAACTCCATTGACTCAATCTCTTAAAAAAGTAACTCCTAACCAGTCAGTGGGCATTTTATTAGGTTGTTTGGAATATGTGTATTTCCATAATAACAGTTTTGTTTTTAGGAAAAAGCATTTAGCTTGGATTAATTAAATAAACTGTTGTTTTGTAACTACCATCTAGGCCTACTTCTGAAGAAGCCTCTGAAAGAGTCGAAATATTAAGTATATTATGTGTGTGATTTTATGTGTTCTTTGACTCGTCTGCAACCTTTCATCAGGTGAGTTAGCTGTGTCCTCTCCATCCTATATTTATTAATCCATAATAACAGTTTGTAACTTAACTGTAATATTTTTCCCTCCAGGAGGCAAAAGAGTCGTCCAGTTGAATAGCTCATTCTGGACTGGATACAGGAGAAACATTGTTAAACCTGAGGAGATCTTACTGGCCATCCACATACCATTCACTACTGAGGTTTGTATTGGACTAGTCTCCTTGACTAGGGAATCTAAAAAATTACTCAACTTTCTTCATGACATTACTCTTTACATCACTGTCCGTAAAAAATAGCCACTAAAAACTAGGTCTATAATAATTGTAAAGTAATTTTTTTATCAAAAACTGATCAGCTGACTGTACTTGTCCCAGAAATTAATTATACTTTCTTGTCCCGTCAAAACTTTTCTTTTTCCAAACAAGCTCCTGTCATGCTAAACGAAAACACGATTTCTTCGAGTTTGTTTAAATTACAAAAACATACTCTATTCCCCTTTGGACCTACTTTGTCATTTCTTTTGAAAGTTGGTTGCCTGAGACCATTTTGCTTGCAGTGTCTTTTTCTCTTATATTAAACGATTATACAAGTGGTTTAACAGGGTGATTTTGTTATTTCTTTTGCCAATTCTATTCAAAACAGCTGACTTGAAAATGAATTGTTAATCGTCTACTTAATAAAAAAATCATCAATCATTGGCTGAAATATCAGATTATTTAAACAAATTCAGTGTATGGTGATGTTGTTTGTATTGTCATGAAAATTGCCGTTTAGCACTCACCACAAAAGGCTAATTCTTGGGAAGACAGTGTGATTTAGATGAAGGCAAGCATAGAAAACTCTTTCAAGGATGTATCTTCTTTTTCCAGTTTTATTTTTTATACCTATATTTTTAATATTTATGGTCTTTTTAAAACGTTTTTATTAGCTCGCTTTCTTGTCCGGTACAAATTTTGCAATCAATTTTATACTAACTTCCCAATGAGCTAGAGACTTGAAACTTGAAACATAGCTCACAAATGGAAGACAATGCAATATTATATAATTTAATTTTCATATTTCCCATGGGTTTGTTTTTATTAACTCGCTTTCTTGCAAATTTTGATACTTTCCAAAGAGCTAGAGACTTGAAACTTGAAACATAGCTCACAAATGGATGACTATGCAATATTATATCATTTGATTTTCATATTTCCCTCGGGCTACGCCCCATGGGCTTGTTTTTATTATCTCGCTTTCCTACAAATTTTGATATCAATTTAAACGAAGTTCCCGATGAGCTAGAGAATTGAAACTTGAACATAGCTCACAAATGGATGACAATTGACAATGCAATTTCGTATCATTTAATTTTCATATTTCTCTTGGGCTACGCCCCATGGGCTTCCAAATTTTCTATGTTTACATTTTGAGAGAATGTAAATACTGTATATCAATTAATTTAAGTCAGCTGTAAATTCTTAAATTTGACAGTTCGAAGAGCAGAAGTTAAGAGGCGTGCAGGTTATGCTCCCAAGAAATTCTTTATACAAACAAACATTTCAAAATAAAGATAAACAATCTGATTGCAGTGTTTGTTAATAATGTCAATTGTTATTTATTTACTATTCTATAAAGTAGGGATGGACGAGATTGGATTTTTAGTTCGAGACGAGACGAGACGAGATTTTTTATTTCTCATAAAATTTCGAGACGGGATTTCCCTTCTCGTACGCAACGGGAAATGCACGTTCAAAATTTTTACCTGATTTTGTAACATTGTTAGATGACTGTTTAAATACAAAAATAATGATAATAGTCAAGAATATTTACAATATTTTATTAACAAACATCAGCATAACATTTTTTTATTAATCACGCCTAACTTATTAAAAATGCCTACGATTAGGAAACATAGTGATATCATAGAGTTCAACTTATCCTAAAATAAAATAAACCATAAAATAAAAGTAATATTAATTTTTATAAAATAGTTACTTGTTTTGACTTTTTCTTTTTATAGTAATAAAAAATTCCTCACACTGTTTACACTTTACAAAACTTCTCAAATGTTATTAAAGTAATATTATTAAAATAATTAAAGTAATATTTACATTTAAAGAATTAACTAAATAAGAACGCCGACACAAAGAAAACGCAACTACAACACGCTCCTGTATTGCGGGTATTGCATTGACTTTCTGCAGGCGTTTTTATAATTTTTTTTTTTATTCCCGTCTCGGTAAAAATCTCGGCCAAAAAGAAATCTTGTCTCGTGTAACGAGATTTAAAATTTCCCGAAAATTTCCCGAAATTTTGAGACTTGACCATCCCTACAAAAAATAAGTTAAATATATTGATATATTTATAGTTAGTAGGTAGGCATACATTCAATCTAATAGGTACATAATTATATGAAAAGAAACTCAAATAAACCTTAGATTTCCCACATGCCTCTGTATTAATCTGATATGGATGCTTCAAATAGATGTAACATCCACACACATTAAAAACTAAAAAGTAGAAAATAGTTTATAAATAAAAAACTTTTTTAAAACAAAACGTTTTTAAACGCACTAAAAAGTAGAAAATAATTTATAAATATGTGGAGAGTATAAATACTTGTAAGATTTAAAACTAAAAACGTGGGGTGCATGCAATTGATAATAATACATTAGTTTAATAGGTGAAGGTAATTTTAAATTATCTATTGCATGCACCCCATTTGACTTATCAAAATTTATACATTAATAACGGCCAATTTCCTCCCTTTAACTATTCTCTACTCTATTTTCCAGAACCAGTACTTTGCAGCCTACAAGCAGGCCAAGAGGAGAGAAGACGACATTGCTGTTGTCAACGCAGCTTTCAATCTCCAGCTGACCTCCCAGAGTCATGTTGTAGACATGGAGATGGCTTTTGGTGGAATGGCTCCAACCACAGTGTCTGCTCCCAATACTGCCGCTGCCTTGAAGGACAAGTAAGTACAGTGTACACTTATTATTTGATTTTAGCTGGTCTGGTTTTTATACAGTTTTAGTGCTGTATTTTGGATTCTGTCCTGAGGTATTAATGCGTTTAAAAGTTCCCACCTTCACATCCTAGGACACTAGGCTCTAGCCCAGAGCCATTTTACACGTTACTTCAAGCTAGGCCTAAATGGTTACGTATTAAAAGAGTTAAATTTATCGGTGATTGGTGTGGTTCGAACATAAAACTTTGGGACTCGGGATCTTGCACCTTCCCCAAGGATCGGTAATGGAAAGTAAACATCCAACATGGTGTCTACTCTCCGGGAAATTCGGGAAAACCGGGAAAACTCCGGGAATTTTATCTTACCTTGAAATGTCCTGGAAAACTCCAGGAATCCACCGGAACCTCCGGGAATCCACAAACGGTGTTGCCGAAACGGCAAGATATCCTCACGGGTATTGCCGCGCTCGCGGGAGACGATTATCGGTGTTGCCGAAACCGCAGGATATGTTCACGGGTATTGCCGCGATCGCGGGAGACGATTATCGGTGTTGCCGAAACCGCAGGATATGCTCACTGGTATTGCCGCGCTCGCGGGAGACGATTGTCGGTGTTGCCGAAACCGCAGGATATGTTCACGGGTTTTGCCGCGATCGCGGGAGACGATTGTCGGTGTTGCCGAAACCGCAGGATATGTTCACGGGTTTTGCCGCGATTGCGGGAGACGATTATCGGTGTTGCCGAAACCGCAGGATATGCTCACGGGTATTCCCGCGATCGCGGGAGACGATTATCGGTGTTGCCGAAACCGCAGGATATGTTCACGGGTTTTGCCACGATCGCGGGAGACGATTATCGGTGTTGCCGAAACCGCAGGATATACTCACAGGTATTGCCGCGATCGCGGGAGACGATTGTCGGTGTTGCCGAAACCGCAGGATATGTTCACGGGTTTTGCCGCGATCGCGGGAGACGATTATCGGTGTCGCCAAAACCGCAGGATATGCTCCCGGGTATTGCCGCGATCGCGGAAGACGATTATTGGTGTTGCCGAAACCGCAGGATATGCTCACGGGTATTGCCGTGATCGCGGGAGACGATTATCGGTGTTGCCGAAACCGCAGGATATGCTCACGGGTATTCCTGCGATCGTGGGAGACGATTATCGGTGTCGCTGAAATAATAAAATATGCGAACCTGTTTTGCCGCGATCGGTTGCCTGTGTTGACGAGACTGCAAGATATGCTCACCGGTATTCCCACGATCGCAGGAGATGATAGCTGGTGTCGCCTTACCTTATTAGTTATACTGTTTTATTATGTTGTATAAAATATTTTTCTTTGGAAAAGTTTTGTTTTAAATTAAAATAATCATTAATAGTAATAATAAATTATTATTAGCGGATTGCAATTAGTTGAACGGGTTCCGATAGTAGCTCTTAAAATTCAGGAATTTGTCTTGAATTCTCCTGGAAAACTCCTTGAATTTTTCAAACCAGGTTTAGTAGACACCATGTCCAAAGTAAGAGATTATATTGGATTTGTAGATTGTACGGCACCTGCATTCAGGGGTGTATATAACAAAAAATTAGGGGTCTGCGGTGCACCGAAAAAGTCGGTACGGTACGGTACAAGCTTAGTTACCGTCATCGGTTCGGTACAGCATTTTACACGGTACAAATTCGGTTCGGTACAGCCTATTATAATAATAAATTACTTTCAGTTTTCTATCGTAGTCAACGGCAGTTGGTTCTGAGCACATAAAAGTCTTATCAGATGTTTGTTTACGATCTTCATAATTTATTACTAGCGTGATGATGCAATAAAAAACCCATTAGCAGTCCCAAATCCATTAACATTTTATCACGACAATAATTGTTGTATTGAAGTACTTCCAAGAACTGTTGAGTTTTATCACTTTTATTTCTTTACGACTTTCCCCAATTCTGTTTTATCATAAAAATAATAGTTTTATGATGACTGTTAAATGTTATCTCTAACTTAATCAGTATTTTCGTGAATATTGAATTTGCCGCTGGCCATTGCCTACTGCCATAAAACTGTTTATGGCTACATATTAAACTTGTAACTAATCTACAATCTTATTTTATAAATTAAAATATTTGTTATGGATGTTTTATCTTTCTATTGACGACCATGGATATATACAAACTTTTGTCGTGATTTTAATTTCAACATCAAAATACAATATTGCACAATCGTGATATTTTAGGCCATTGACCTTTATTATGCATCCGGTATTGCGGTTTCAGAAGAGAAGCACGTTGATAAATTATAAATTGATATTCCCGTAGTTAAAAAGAATTATTTTATAAACCTATAAAACAAAATCATAAAATCTTACATAAAGATAACAATAACGGAAATTGTAAAAAGGGTATAAAGATAACAACGTCGTTATTCTTTCTCTTTGTTCTTCTATTTCTTGGGTTTCCCTTCATCACGCATTCAACAAGTTGCCATGGTTACTAATCACCCATGTCGTTATCAGCTTTTGTGACATAGCGCACAGCAGGGGGTAAAACTTGACGAAAATCGGTAAATTTTTACCTATTATTTAATTACCAATGAATGTACTACTTTATTGGTATTTGGTATTGTATTAATAATCGGTCCAAATAGCAGATTTTTGTCAAATTTTACACCAAATTTATTGAAATTTCAAGGTGAATATTAATAAAACAATTATTACCAAATATTTGTATTCATTTAAAAGATTGATTTGTGGTATTGGGTTCCCCACTGAGTGCAGCCGAGCGGCACTAATGAGGGTCGGACCTTCTTGGGGGTGAACAATAGACGGCTTATCAGACCCTCCCCTCCCCCGTGGTCTGGAGAAAGCATGTAAACAAACTATTGCACAAGCGTGACTTGACATTGGGCTGCTTCAACTATAATTTTGTCAAATGAACTGTGATGTTTCAAAGTGAAAAACAATAATTTGGGACCATACTGCTTAACAATAATGGACTACAATTATTGTTGAACATACAATCCATTTTTAACAAACTAAGATTATACGATTCAAATACAATTATAAAAATTATCTTGGTATTTTACTTGGGGTAATGAAGTTATGTAGGCTAGTGTAATTCTCGGTTCATCAAGGTTCTACTGATTTATGTTTGGCAGTGAATAAGTGTAGAATGCAATTTATAAATTCAGGGATACACACCTTTAACACAGTTATAAAGTCTAATTGCCCAACATCAAATCTTACTCTGTGATAATCCAAATTTTAGTTTCAGAAAAAAACTTTGCAAGAATTGTATCCATCTTATAACTTAACTAGTTTTGAAGCTGATAAAAAAAAAATGGTCTTTGCCATTACTTCATCATAACCTCCAGTTTTTCATTGTCATCTGCTGTGAACAGCTGGCAAAACTACACTGTCTTCTACTGAATGCTTTTATATGTTTTTAAAATAAAAAAAAAACAACTAGACATTGTGTTGGTTGGAAATAATTTACCAGTTTTGTGAAATTATCTTGTCAATAAATGTTTCAAACATGTTTATTCATAAAAACTTTTATCCTTATACTACTTTATCATGGCTATTCAAAGTATCTCAGAGTAAAATAGGTAAAGCCTTTATCTCAACTGTGATTTTTCTTGACACAATCCTCGTAGTAGTAAAAGGTTTTGTTTTAATAATATGTGGTACTGTAATTGTTGTTAGAAAACCATGAATGTAGGATACTATCCATTTTCATAGTAATGTCTATGTATTAAAGTTAAAAATAATGGTTTAGATACAGTTCTGAGAAGAAAACCGCAAAAATACGGGTAGCCGCGTACCGTACCGATTTTGTACCGAGAACCGAGGTACAAAATATTGTACCGTACCGAACCGTACCGACCTTAAATTTTCTGTACCGCAGACCCCTACAAAAAATAGATTGCGTAGCTAAGTTATACACAAGTTTACTGCACAACAGATTAAATCTTTGGATAACAGATCATGATAGGCTGTGTGAATATCAAGCTGGTTTCAGGAGTGGCTATTCGACAATTGATAATGTTTTTATTCTTTCAAATGCTGCAAAATTGTGTCTCAGTAAAAAAAAGGGTAAATTATATACTTTTTTTGTAGATTTTACTGCAGCTTTCGATACAATAGATAGAAATGCTTTGTTTTATAAGTTATCATGTCTTGGTATTTCTACGCATATGTTACGCGTTTTAATGGATTTATATAATGGTACTTCGTCAGCTGTCTGGTGTAAAGATGGAATAACAGACTACTTTGAAACAGGCCTTGGTCTAAAACAAGGAGATGTTTTGAGTCCTTTATGTTTTAACTTATTTGTAAATGACATTATAGATTCATTAAGTGGAGGCTGCATTTTTGGAGATGTTCAAATTAAGGCTTTGTTATATGCTGACGACATTGTGTTGATGGCTCCGACGGGAACCAGTCTGCAGTTAATGATAAATGACCTTGAGAGATATTGTCAACAATGGAACTTGACTGTGAATTTAAGTAAGTCAAAGATTATGGTTTTTAGGAAAGGAGGGAAACTGAGGAAAAATGACAAATGGTATTTTCGAGGTGAAAGAATCGATGTGGTTAATGATTATAAATATTTGGGAATAAACTTAAATTCTAAACTATCCTGGGGTTTGCATTTAAAACACAAGTGCAGCTCTTCAAAATTAGCAATTAACAGTATTTGGAATACATTTCTAAATAACAAAAATGTACCTTTAAGTAAAAAATTCACTATTTATTTTTCAATTGTCAGATCAACTCTTTGTTATGGGTGTCAAATATGGGGTTTATGGGAAAGTGATTATGTAGATGGGACTCTTTGTTATTTTGTAAAGAAAATTTTAGGATTGGCAAAAAATACTCCCAACTATGCATTGTATCTCGAAACTGGACTAGAAAAAGAGTACATTTATACACTCAGCATGCATGCTCGTTACATCATACATGCTCTGTCACTGTCGCCGAACCGTCTACCAAATAAATTAGCAAAGAAAATAATCAGCGAAAATATTTATTGGAGCAGAGATTGGAAGGGTCTTGGAAGTAAACATGGAATTGAATTATCCTTTGATGTGAATTCCATTGAGGATACCCAGCGACACCTGTTATCAGTAGTAGAGGCAGTAAGGGGGGAGAGCAGGCGGGGGTTAGTCCAGGCGGCATTGGCCTCACGATACCACACAACTTATGCTTCACTGAATCTTGACCTTGGAGATAATGGATATCTATCAGATAACGTTCCTGATATTGTTAGACAATGGGTATTCAAAGTAAGGACAGAGACTATTTCCTTAAATTTTAAACCTTGGATGACAGACGCTAATTTTATATGTTCTTTGTGTAATCTAAATGAGAATGAGGACACTTATCATTTTGTTGCTCGTTGTCCAATTTTAACACAAATTAGAAATAAATGGCTATTGAAACCTGTTTTAACTCACTCAGAGTTTATAGATTTTCTTAATGGTAAGGATTGGCGTTCGCTGGCAAATTTTCTTAAAGAGGCTTGGAAGTATAGGTGGGATTTGGTTTTAGAATTCAATGTCTAGCAGCAAAACAATATACATATTACAGCTTATTACAAATATTTCACATTTTTAGTTGTATAAAATAAAATGTTGTTAACCCGGCAGACGGTCTTATGACCATTGCTGTAATGTGCTGTTTTTAGTAATTTTGTTGTTGTTATGCAGAAGATTATGTTTAGTTATAAGTTCATATGTATTTATGCAGTTTATTTTTTTGTTAATAAAGCACTTTTTCATTTCATTCATTTCATTTCATAACAAAAAATACCTCCTTGGGCATCTAATACAAGGCCACAGTGTTGGTGTATGGACTCAGGTGGTGTTGTGGGAGGGAAAAATTGGCGGCATGTCGTGTGTTGTGCTGGTGTGTGTCTCTGTGTCTTGGCTGCGCCGTTGTAGTGGTGTGGATAATGACTTCTCTTATGTGGAGTGAAACTGATGTGAGGATTTTAAGGTTCTTGAAAGCTTCTCGGCAGCTGTCTCTGTAGGTTTAGGTTGGCCAGGTATCTAATTGCTCTTTTTTGCTTTAGGAGTACTCTTTCCAGGTTGCCTTTTGATATTCCACCCCAAGTCGCAATGTCCTGAGGTGGGACTCAAATAGAGCAAAATATGCAACCTTGGCTACTATACCAAGTCCAAGGCTATATACCAGAGTTAAAAGCGCACGGTTGCCCCATAAGCTTGTATCCTCTGTAACTTAAGCCCCGTTCACACGGGGCAAGTTCACAAGCTACACGCCAGCGTGTAAGAAGCCGGCGAGTTGGCGAGTGCGCTTGTATTCGTTCACAAGGAGCTTGTCCACTCGCCAACTCGCCGACGTGTAGAAAGACGCCGGCGAGTCGGCGAGTGCGCTTGTAGTCGTTCACACAACGCTTTTTCCACTCGCTCAGTAGCTGGCTTGAACCAAATCCTCCAACATCTTTGAGTAACAAGCGCACAAGCACAAGCAACTGTGTTCACACTGGGCTACTTTACACGCCTACTCGCTCAAAAGCTGGCGAGTTGGCGTGTAAAGTAGCGGCAGCGTCAACTTTTTCCAGAGCTTTTTTACAAGCAGCTTTTGAGCGAGTACGTCGTTCACACTGAGCTATTTTACTAGCTGCGTGTAAAAAATCCGGCGTGTAGCTTGTAAACTCGCCCCGTGTGAACGGGGCTTTACTTCTCCGTGAGTGGCCAGAACTGCTGTGTTGCCTTTTTTGTCTCGCTGCGGCCTTGTATTAGAGAAGGGTATATTGGGAGTCAGTGTAAGTACATTTATATTCATTAGCACTAATAGCTGTTATTTTCCAGGCCCTGGACCTCTGCCACTATAGAAGCAGCATTCTCTACCCTCATGACAGAACTGTCCCTAGACCCAGGAGCCCCTGGTGGTCTTGTGTCTTATAGATGTTCCCTGACTCTCAGGTATGCTACATGCTACAATCTTGAACCTACCTCGCTCTGCTACCATTTAAACATTAACTCCAATTGTTTTTAAAATAATTGACTATATACATGGGTAAATCTTGAATGGGCTCAGTTTTAACAAGTCTTAAGAAAGCAATGGGAACACAACAGGTAAGACATCAGGATGTTAAACTCTTACCTAAGCTTATTCCCTTTAAGATAAAATTCTGGTTACTATTAATAATATAGGTACAATAATCCCGCTTTGGTCAAAGGAATTTTATGCAAATTCTGAATAAGAGTTTACAATAGGAATATTTTTTGACAATCAACTAAGATTGTACTTTTATAAAATGTTCTCTTTGTTGTGATTGTCCCTTTTGATTCTCCATTTTAGCATTATTTCCGCTATTCTGGCAGCAACAAATTGGGATTGGGATTGTTGGGAACTAGATGAGATATACTTAGACTAGTTTTGTGGTATATGTCTTTTATAGCTTAGGCCTATAGTTTTTAATTAAGGAAAATTCTTATGTCTAAACAATCCTTCATTTAACAATATTCTCATCATTCATGTTTCTAGATTTCTTTTTTTTATTTTTTTTTATTTTTTTATTTCCAAAAAATACAAATTTACAAAACACATACAATTCCAAGCCACAAAAGCCAATATGGCTTGTCTGCAGCAATTATTCTAATTTTGTTATTTCACAGTGCTTTTTTTTCAATCAATCTTTGTCTTAGTTTGCAAACGGATATCTTCATCTTTATATTATATACTGCTAATTAAAAATGCTTTTAATTATATTTTTAAAAATCAAGTATTGACGTAACTTGTATTGTTACCAGCTTACTCTTCAAGTTTTACCTGAAAGTAACTCAGAAATTGGAAAGTAAGAATGTCGCTGTAGAAAAACTGCCGGACTCTTACAAAAGCGCCATCAATGGATTTGAAAGTGTTCATCCAAAGAGTTCTCAATACTTTCAATTGGTAAGTCAACTACTGTTATTAGTTAATTAATGGCATTATGTACGTAACATAAGTTTATGGAAAAGCCAGTGGAGACTGGTGTAAAAAGTATAGCAGCTATTTTCAAACCAGCAATGAATTTCTGACTCAGCCCAAGACACTACCTTATTTGAAATCATGTGGTTTTTCTACTCAAGATTTGTATATTCTCTCACTGTGTGACTTGATGTTTTGTTTGTAGGCATTAACAAAATCTTTGTAGTTTGTAGGAAACACTGTTTTGAAGTATCAAACATATTGAATTGGTTAAAGCTTATCTTCACCAGAGCTAATGAAAAATGTGACAAATATTTGCGTAATTATAGAGGTTGTACAGTTCAGTTACATTTAATTTATGTTCTTAAGTTTCAGGATGACCCTTCTATTTACAAGTTATGCCATAATAGTCTTTAATGGTATGTGTTAGGTTCCTTCAACTCAATCCAAGACAGACTTGGTTGGCCGTCCAATCGTACACAGATCAGCGTTCAAGCAAGCAACAGGTAGGAAATTATAATATGCACGACATGGTATGCATAATTTTGTGAAAATGTATGAAAGCTTTTAGATTTAGTGGAGCTTTAGACTGAGGTGAGAACACAAAACATAAAAATGTGTTTTTTTTAGACCAAAGATTAGGTATTGTGCTTGCTATGGTAATTGTGCTTGCGGATCGAGAAGTGACTGAAGGTAGTGTTGAAAAACTGACAGTTGACATTTCTTAGTCTATTACATGGTTTTATACACATTGATCAGCAAGCAAAGGTTTGTCAACTTGAATCACTGTCTCGATAATTGATGAACACCTGCTGACAGATAATTGTGCGAATGTGTTCAGAGCATCTTGCGAACTAAACCTAAACCACTATTGCACATTTTTTACGCCTAAACACTTTCTGCATACACACTCTAACAACAACAAATTTCAATAGAGGTTAATCTCCTTCCTACAAAAAACCTAATCACAAAACACGATTCATAATTGGAGGGATCGTCAAATTTCCTTCCCATTATTTTCAGCTTTTGACTAAACCAATCGTCGCATATGAGTGGATTCAATATTAGTGGATCAAGTAAAAAACACACTACTAGTTTCAGATTTGAATCGTGACAGGAGCTCTGTGGATACCTTAATTTACAGATAAACATTGTAGTGTTTCTGTTTCATAACATAATTTGATGCCTGTTCAATTTTCAACCATTACAACTGGTTCCTAGGTGAGGCGATCTACTGTGATGACATGCCTCTCTGGCAAGACCAAGTATATCTGGCCCTGGTGTTCAGCAGCAGAGCACATGCCAAGATACTCAGCATAGATCCATCAGCAGCTCTTGCACTTCCGGGTGTCCATGCTTTCTACTGCTCTGATGATCTGCCTGCCAAAAACAATCACTTTGGGCCCATTGCCAAGGATGATTTTGTTTTCGCTGATAAGGAGGTAAATTGTTTAATGTTCTTCAGTCACAACTGATAAAAATCAAAAATGTAAGGGTTGAATTTGAAATAACTTTTTGTTTGCCACATGAGTTATTTTTTTATGGTTGAATAACTTTATATACCCAATAATTTTTCTGTGCAGATTCAACAAAGTATTGAAATTGTTGTTGAGTATATTAGTTTAATTGAGCTTCTAAAATGTTAATTACTAAGTCTTTCACTGCTATGGCTATCTGATCAAACTTTTGCCACGTTAAAGTATTTTTTTAGAATTTAGAATCTTTTATGGTAATTTTTATCAAGCTTTACTTTGTGTTATGAGTCTTATGTGTTAAACATCTGTTTGCAGGTAATGTGTGTAGGTCAGGTGGTAGGTGCCGTAGTGGCAGATACACAACAGCTGGCTCAGAGAGCTGCTAAACTGGTCAAGGTGGAATATGAGGATCTTCAGCCAGTCATCATCACAATTGAGGTAAGTTAAATCTGTTTGAGCTATACTATTCGTACAGGTCTGCGAGTTCCCATTAATTTTGGGTCGGGTTAGGCCAAAAATTAGCCCAAGGAATCGGAAATTCGAGTTAGGTCTAGCCAGGCTTTTATTTTTACAATCGCAGAAAGTTTCTGCAAAGTATCTGAGTTGTACTGCACATTCCAAAATTGACGATTTTACCGCAATCTTGAGAGACGATTATTTCATAACAACAAAAAATTTACATAATGTAACAAGATATTGGCATTAGCTTAGTATAGACACAGTAAATATTTACACATGTGAAGTAAATATTCATTCCATTATAGGTATTTTCACATCTGGGCGTTAACTATGACACTCTTAGGCTTCTATTATTCTAGCAAAATTTTTCTTCCTCTTTTCTTTACAACCTCACGTTTCATTTATCAACTGTCTTCTTCTAGGTCCCTCCCTGTAACACCATAAACTCCATTAGTCTACCAGCTTGCGTTCTTCTCACATGTTCAAACCACCTCACCTAACTAACTTAATAACTTTTGTGATCACTTAAGAATCCTGAAAATGTTTTTGGCATTACCAACAGCTCCACCATCTTTCTTCGTCTTGCATCATCTCCATCTTTTAGCACTTGATCATTCCATCATAGTGGTCTTCCATTTTGAGGATTATTTTCTGTCACCATAGTAAGTGTCAGATTACAAAATATTCTGTTTATTAAACCATCTTGGTCTTTACTTGTTTAATGCACCACTTTTTCTGTCATGAACGCCTCTTATACGCCTCCTATATATCCATTTCTAAGTCTATCACACCTTATTTTGCTGTCAATAACCCTTGAAATTTTCATTTCTCTAAATTTTCATTCTGTTCCCAAATTTTGGTTTTTTCATTTTCTAGTAGTTAACGTATTATGCAGTGCTTTAATTCATCCCTAGTAACATAATTTATCATAAATTTCTTCAAACTTTGTTGTTGTTTTATTAAAAAATTTCAACTATACCATTAATTGAAAGGATGCCATCCGTGAGAACTCGTACTTCTCTCCTGCCCCGATGAAGTTGCGCTACGGTGACGTAGACGCAGCCTTCGCAACAGCTGATCACATCCTGGAGGGAGAGGTGAGACTTGGAGCTCAGGAACAGTTCTATCTGGAGACTCAGGCTTGTATCGTCATACCCAAGGGAGAAGACGACGAGATGGAGATTATATCCTCCACACAGCATCCTACTGAAATACAGGTATGTAAGACTTTTACTTGTATCCTTGCAAGTAGATAAATATTACTCTCATTGGAATTTTAAATCTTCATTAGGGAAATAAAGAACAAAGCGCCAGTTTGAAATTTGAGGCGTGCATTGCCCTTTTCTTGGCCACTGTATGGATATGACAACTATGGGTCTGATTCGAAACCTTACTTAGATAAGTACCTTTTTTTAAATTTGTATAAGTACCTATGTTCTATGTTTAACCTATAGTTTAAGTTAAACACTCTTACTCCAAGAATAGCTGTATCCAAAATCTATAATTACAAATAATACATATTAAAGTATCAATTACGTTCAATTTATCATGTTACGACTTTTTTGTTAAGTCTGTGTATTTTAATTTACTTGTTGATTTAATATAAAGATTAGCTCAATATTTTTTATCTGTAGGGAGAAGTTGCCAATATGCTCGGAGTGACTAGCAACAAAATAGTGGTCAAAGTGAAGAGGATCGGAGGAGGGTTTGGTGGCAAAGAGTCAAGAAGCTCCATGATTGCTCTACCTTGTGCTTTGGCTGCCACTAAGTGAGTATCTGTCTGTGTTGTAGACGATTATGACTTACAGTATAACAAACAGTGGAGTGAAATTGAAATCAAAACTTTACAGTCTATCAGGAAACGTTTACAGTGAACAGTGATAGCGGAATTATTGTTGGGAATCGTTTGTACAGAATGATCCAGAGGCTACGTCATCATGACTTGTGTTGTTGTTGTTGTGTGTTGTAAATCTTAATCAGTACAACCTAAATAACTTTTGCATTATAGTTTGCTGCTGGGAGAAACAGAACTTGATTGTGTGTAATGTGTTAAAATAATGTATACAGGTTAAAAGGAAGTTCCCCGTAGGTTTACATTTGTATTTATATTCCTTTTATAATTTGCACTACTTGACCATTTTGCTACCCAGATTGGGCAAACCAGTGCGCTGCATGCTAGACAGAGATGAAGACATGATCTCTACGGGACAGAGACATCCGTTCTTGGGCCGCTACAAAGTTGCATTCACTTCTCAAGGGAAGATTACAGCTTGTGAAATCAAGCTTTACTGCAACGCTGGAATGTCTTACGATCTGTCCATGGCTGTAAGTATGTTGCTTTAGTTGGCAGTTAAAGCATCTGCCATACAGTGATCTTAAAATTATGGTGGTTTTAAATAAGTAGATCTCTCATTCAATGTACTTTTGTAGTCAAGTTAATTAATTGTGTTATCTTGTGCCCCGATGGTTTCCACGTTTTAAATCGTTGCGAACATAAAAATGTTGGTTATATTGTCTTTTAAAAGGGGACTATGTTAAAGGAAATCATGGATAATGAGAACATTGTGAGAGTCAATTATCCATGTAAAGTAACAAATACAAATGAAGATACATTTTTTGACACACCGTAGTTTTGATATCAGTTTCAAGGACAAAAGGGCAAGGAGTGACGGTAAAATAATTTTAAGGGAAAATGAAAAACAATTACAACAAGGAAAGAGAGTGTAAACACCTTGTTCTTGTTAGACATGCAATCTCCTTACAATTGAAAGATTCCTTCATTTAATAAATAAAACTTTACTGCTGTTAAAAGTGAGTTTCATTCGTATACAGAATTTAAAAAAACATAGTGAATTACAGTAATAGTATTCCAAAAAAATTTTTTTACAGGTTATGGGACGTGCGATGATGCATTTCCAGAACGCATACCACATTCCCAACGTGATGGTTTACGGTTACGTGTGCAAGACCAACCTCGTAACCAACACTGCCTTCCGAGGGTTTGGAGGACCTCAGGGGATGTTCATTGGGGAGACTATGATGAGACAAGTGGCTGCCTATCTCAACAAGGACCCTTTCCAAGTAGGTGTTACTAATCTCCAATTTTGTTACTAATTTCCAACCTTTATAGGATAAAATTTTCTTGTTTCTTGTGTCAGAATGGACTTCTTACCATACAGTTAAGCCTGCTTTCCTAACAAAACGTCCTTAAAACTGTACAATTCATTAACCAATGTGACGCTCGCGTCACAGCAGCGCTGCTATCAACCGGTTGAATCCGCTTTAGTCGCGAACACTGGAGGGAGTAGGGAAGGGGTAGAAGGAGGTCAGTCGTTGCCTGGAGTCCCCGGAGTGTTCACATCGACGAGGAACGGGATGAAATCGATAAGTTATAGTATTAAGCTAAATCATTAGTTATTTAAAAATCATGTTCTAATTCTTTTCAGTACGGGGGGGGGGGGGACTAAGGGGTTAGGGATTCTATCGTCAATTAAATATCCATTATGTAAACTGAGTTATCAGTACCTTTCGGGCCTATAAGGCGCGAAAGGAGTTTTTAGCTTATTCTTATTTATTAGTTTGATTGGTAGAATGCATTACTAAATTTAGATCATCAAAATGGTTGTGATATAGATGTGGCTTGGCTCAGTTATTTAATTGTAGTTAAATAACATATTATGACTTAGAATGATAGCACGCACAAGAAATCTCTGACTTTAATTGAGCCTCAAATCGATCCTATGAGCCCAGTACCGCTACACCAAACAACCTTAGAAAATTCATCCTTAGAAAAATCCTGAAAACCCAGTCATTGGTGCTCTGGGACCCTTAATTTTACATAGTTATTTACTTTCTGTTAAAATAATTTGTACTGTTTTGATTTTAATATCGAGAACTATTTCTGACCAGATCTGCAGCTTGAACCTGTACAAAGAAGGTGACCGTACCCACTACACACAGGAGCTCAAGTATTGTACACTGGACAGGTGTTGGTCAGAGGTTGTGAATGACTCGGACTATAACAGACGGAAAGCCGAAGTTGAAAAGTTCAACAAGTAAGTCACTTCCAGAGTTGGACCAACAAAACAAGTCCTTAAACATAGCAAATAATCTACAAATATATTCTCTATTTTGATTAAGACTCAATCGTGTGGTACTAACTAGTCAACGTTGCAGGGAGAACCGATGGAAGAAACGAGGAATCGCTGTTGTACCGACTATGTTCGGTGTTGCGTACACTGAGCAGTTCCTCAACCAATCAGGAGCTCTGGTTATGATCTACACTGATGGCTCAGTGTTGTTGTCTCATGGAGGCATGGAGATGGGTCAAGGACTTCACACAAAGATGATCCAGGTAGGTTTGCCATCATTTTTATTTATTTGTTGTTTCACACTTTGGTACCAACAATGTCGTGAGTCGCATGAGTTATCGACCAGTTACCGAAGTCAGGGAAGTCACTAAATGGATAAATGTCTGCGATTTTAACTATTTTAAAGACAATTTTAGCCATAGAATCTTCTTACCCAGGCTAGAAAAATTAAACAGTAGATACATTTTAAATTCTCTAAAACTAGAACCAATATCATAAAAAATTAGCTTTTTAATAATAAAAAATAAATAAGTGTACATTTACACATTCTAATTTACTTAGTGGCCAACTCATGGTAATTTTTCCTATTACAAATGATAATGTGGTAAAAGATCATGGAATTTATTTAAGAAGTGTGTTGCTAATCTTGTGGTTAGCGTCTCAGACTTCAGTGCGAGAGGGAAGAGTTCGGTTTTCTCTGTATACTTACAAAAATTGAAATAGTTTGAACCACATAAAAAAGTTTTTTTGGAAAAAAGTGTAGTGTGTTGACCTAATTTACAATGCTACTGGTGTAGCTTCTGAACATAGAAAACATAAAATGGAAACGGCTAGACATCCTGTACGTAATTTCAGCTTTACCTTCCCAATAGTATTTCACAACTTAAATTATTGATTTACATGTTGCAAATATTTATAGCCAGTGTTATAACCTTGTATCCATGTGTTATACAGGTAGCCAGTAGAGCCCTTGGTATCCCTGCGTCTCTGATCCACATCTCAGAAACTTCCACAGACAAAGTTCCCAACACAGGAGCTACTGCAGCCAGTTCTGGATCCGATCTCAACGGAATGGCTATCATCGTGAGTTTCCAGAACTTTCAATTTTAATGTTCTTTTTTATAAGCAACTGAACATTTTCTCAGTATGCAGATTAGTTTTCACAGGACTAGTTTAATTTATGTAAATGTGTAAAAAAACTACAGTAAATAAAAAAAGAATAATTGATCTTTCCTCAGGATGCTTGTAACAAGTTGAATGAGAGACTCAAGCCTTACAAAGCTGCCAAGCCTGAGGGACAATGGAAGGATTGGGTGTTGTCTGCTTGGTTTGACAGAGTCAGTCTGGCAGCCACGGGATTCTACAGGTGATATAACTTTTAGTGATGTGTCAAAACCGAATCTCAAATCTCAAAACCATCAAAACTTAGGAAAAGTTTCGGTTACGAGATTCGATCACCAAGTTTCGAGATTCAAAAGTTTCGAAATTGAAGATTTTGACAGTTATTTTTGAATCTGCTGACATTTTTTTGTGATATTGTAATTGTTTTTAACACTGTTTCCAAACAAGCTGGTAGCAACAGAGCAAACATCACCATTAACAGTAATGAAACAAGTAAATTTGATTCTGAACTTCAAATAGTTATTTGTGTAACTAGTGGTGAAAGTGGCACTTTGCTGCACTTGAGAGCAATGTTTACCAAAACACTCGCCTGCGGCTCGTGCGGAATGATCTCGAGTGCAGCAAAGGCCTTTTTCACTCGTGTTACACATTATATTTTTCCTACAGTCACTATAAAACATGAATAATTAGTCTTTCAAACACTATACAACACGTTTTTAGGTTCAGCTAGCAACACAATTACACAAATGGTGCCCTGGAGAAAGTAGTACCCGTGGTCCGTATCACTCCGCTATTTTTCCTCGGCAAGAAATGTGCTCCGTCTTTTGAGAATATAGTTCCGTATGTTTTTGTAATTTGAAGTGGTTTCCGCGCCTAAAAAAAATGCTTTAAAGGTATTTTCTTGTTTATTAAGACCGTAGGAATGTTTTAAAAACGTTTAAAAGAAAAGTCCAGAAAGTTCAGAAATACCAAAACTATAAACACGAAATGACAGGTTAAATCGTAGTTATAATAGTCAATCAGCTGTTCATAGTATTATTATCTTTAAGTGTTGCCAACCTATTTCCAAGCGTACACGGATTACGTGCATAATAAAACCACGCTGTTTTGTGTTGTTTCGTTGGAATCCTGATGTGCGGCAAAGTATAAACCGTGCGGCAAAGTATAAACCGTACGGCAAAGTATAAATATGCAGCAATTAGCAGCTTTCTGTTCTACAGGGTGATTGATATAAGTGTGCCAGCCGCTTTATTCAAAAACTATAAGAGATATCAAAAAAAGTTAAATTGTAAGTGCCTTGGATTTTTTATTTAAAAAATTGTAGTCAAGTCAAAAAATTTATTTTAGCCGCCATTTTTCCAATATGGCCGCCAACTTTGATTTTCCTTATGGAACACCCTGTATTTTATTATGTATTCTGGTAGAAAATGTAGTTTTAAGACGATTTTGTTCTTGACATTTTTTTCATAAACCTAACCGTTTCAAAGATAATAATAGTTAAAGTTTTGAAATTTCTGCATGAGAAAGAGTTTCGATAAAGGCCTAAGCAAGCATGCCAGCTGTTTTATTCGAAAACCATTCAAAATTTCACAACTTAAACCATTATTATCTTTGAAACGGTTAGGTTTATGAAAAAAATTACAAGAATAAAATCGTCTTAAAATTAAATTTTCTACCAGAATACATCATAAAATACAGGGTGTTCCGTAAGAAAAATCAAAGTTAGCGGCCATATTGGAAAAATGGCGGCTAAAATAATTTTTTCGACTTCACTACAATTTTTTAAATAAAAAATCCAAGGCACTTACCATTTAACTTTTTTTTATATCTCTTATAGTTTTCGAATAAAACGGCTGGCACACTTATATCAATCACCCTGTATAAACAGTACAGGGAAGCCAACTTTGTCGGGTGACTGTAGGAAAAGGTATCTTAAATACTATAACTGGTACAATTCAGTTTCAAATCAATATTTACTAAACACACAGAAATATTGACCATTAAATGTTCTAATTAATATAATATTCATGTTTATGTTGGTGTTAGAAGTTTAATTTATTTTTTTGTTGTTGTTTGTTTATGAACAATTCAACAATTATGTTGTTTTGGGTTGTCTTTTAAGATTATCAGTCACATTCACATGTTTATGTTATGTCACGGTCAGGAGTCTATCTCTTTCAGTTTTGATTGCATACTTAACATTTTATGATTATGTGTATTTTTTGTAACCTTGACCTTTGTAACCAGCTAAGAAGAAAAGTTTCGCGTTTAGGTTTTGAGATTCGAGATTCGGGATTCGATTTTTTAAAGTTTCATTTTCGGTTTTGAGATTCGAAATTTCTGGTTTTGACCATCACTAATAACTTTATTTTTATTTTGTGTGTGTGTATAATTTCATCTTGTCAGTCAAACTGACCACTTTGACTGACATATCAACCATATTAAGTATAATAACCAAACCTCATAAAACTTATCCAGAGTACAACGCAATAAAAATCACAAAAAGATATACCTGGCATGTGTTTAGGGGTCTCAATCCCGGGCCTTCAATCCAATCCCAGGATTTCGGGATCAATCCCAGGATTATATTATATTATGATTTTAACTTTTTAGCCATTTTAAATTAGCGTGAAGTCCCCTTGTTGAGTCCTCTAATGTTTTAAACTGGCCTTACCAGTGTTACACGTCACAATTTTTCTGTTTTCTAAGTAAAGAAATATAACCACACGGAACTTTCATCACCCGTCTTTCTTATTTACAGTGTATAAATGTTGATATGTCACTCTAGAGTTAATAAACACATTAAACAAATTACGAGCAACCGCAATCGCATGTAGTACAGGTCACGCTATTATGGAAACTAAATAAATCAAAATATTAAGATAAAATGATAATAAGGGAAGAATCATGAATTGCAGCGTAAAAATGTTATGTTGACTGACAGCAATAAAAAATGTAAGGTACTGTACAAACAATAAACTATCTGCTTATGTAGTAACGTGTATACAAAAAAGGTAATTTAGGATTGTAAAAAAATTAATCACCACACTATAAACATAAACTAAATACAAAGATAAAGTTATAGACCCTAAATAAGCAATCTTAATAATGAAATAACAATGGTGTGTTTATAGTTAATTTTTAGGCCTTCAATAATACTTAATTACTGATTGGCATGTTATGTTTGCCACATCAATTGCATTGTTTGCGTTTAATGTCAAATGTAAAACTCAAAATAACCTTTAGGCGTAATGTAATTAACGTAATAACATTTACAGGAAGTAAATCCGATTCGTCTAAAAACATGAAACATAATATACACTTTGTTCGCCTATGAAGATTGATGATAATTAAATTGTCCAATCAAAATAGATCACAGTTTATACCATATTTCATATATATATTTATCATCCTAAAATAAACAGTAGGTATGTGTTTCAAGTGATATTGGACATATATTTTTTTTCTGTAAGTAAAACCTCCTCAAATTTACAAAAAAATAATTTAAACATAGGTTTGGCAATCCCGTTAATTCCGGGATTAAAATACGTCAATCCTGGGATTTCTAGGTATTAAAAATGTACAGGATCCCGGGATTGAGACCCCTACATGGGCTGCAGCGTATGATTATCGTTAAAAAAAAACTAAAACCACTATGTTTGGCCTCATTGTTGACCAAATGCTATCACTGCGGTAAAGTGTCATGTCTAATCAATGCTGAGTGGTCTGAGAAGATTGAAAGTTTGAATTGTGACTTGGTCAGGTCTAATGTGCAACTCATTAAAAGTTCACTCATTACAGTCTGTGGCAGAGTTTTGTAGAAGAGGTACAATAAAAACAAATGGTTGAGCGGATTGTATGGAGTTTGACTGGATGAGATATACATCTCCTTTCACTATAATCAGTTAACGTTTTGCTAAGATCAACCAAAAAAGTATTGATATGTCTGAATGATTTCAATTTTATGTTGACTGTTTGTTTTATGCATACAATCAGCAGACACAACTTCTGAAATATTAAATGAACAAAGCTTGCGATCGTATATTTCTCTTGCCTCTTGTAAATGTTTTACTGTTTATTAGATCAATAATCTTTTGTTTCATGTTTTAGTACACCCGACATCAAGTATGACTTTGAGAAGAACGAAGGATTGGCTTTCAACTACATGGCGTATGGAGCCGGGGTGTCTGAGGTTGAGATTGACTGTTTGACTGGAGATCACATTGTGAGTACTTTAGTTTACTAAATATTTGCTCGACTTTTGACAACCAATTCAGTTCTTTGAATAATAAAATATACAATAATACATTAATTGAATTGGTTTTGTGTGTCAAATAATTAAACCTTTTGAATATTCTAATGTACAATACTCAGCTGTATTGGATTCTACAATGTCCTGTAGTTTTATCTGTCGTCTTATTTCGTATGGTTTTATTACTGTGCAGTAGTGTAGCACTTGCAAATAATAACCATCTTTATTTTGCCGATAAAATTATTATGTCAATTTATAGTTTCTTACTATTTAAGTGCTGTGCTCCGGTTTCTATTATAAGCCTGATAACCAACTTTTAAAATGTATTTTGGTGTTTTATTTAAATTGGTGTGCAAACTATATTTCCAAAATTGAGAGAAAAAATGCTGTCCTGTCCCGGAACTTATATTTTATTCCTGATCATCACTAGTCTATTCATGTCCTTTACATACCCTTGAGCCTGTGGACGCCCAACGTTTATAGGTGGAGATCTAAAGAATTACAAAAATATCAATGTGGTCTTTTATATTTTTTGTTATCCCCTCACAACTGATTATGTAGACTGAATTTGTCTGCTGTTTACAGGTATTACGCACAGACTTGGTGATGGATGTAGGTGAGAGTCTGAACCCAGCCATAGACGTCGGACAAGTGGAAGGTGCTTTCATGCAGGTGCGCCAACTTACGCTATCAATACTTTTTAAATACCTAAAATTTGAAGAAAACTATAATTTCTGTCCTAGTCATTATTTTTTAGATAATGAAGTAGATGTTTCCATCTATATGGACCAGCTTTAGCCAATTTTTAATAGTAAAACAGTGTTGAATAAACCATTAGAGGATGTGATGAAGTCTAAATTGAAATTTTCTCCTTTAATATTTGTTGCTATGATGTATGTGAATGATGCTGTAGATTAGACTAAGTTGTTGTTTCAGTTTTTATAGGCTAATGTTAGTAAACACTGCATTTGACAAAAATCAGTCGTTGACAGTAGCAAATGATGTGGCTGTATCAACTATGTTCATTTTTTATTCTAGAACTACCTACAACTTTAACATGAGAATGGAATGTCTTGTTAACAATAGTCAAACTGTTTAACTTACTCACCACTTATTATACTAGGAAGTAATGTCTAGAACAAACCTCTTTAAAACATTAATTAGGTATTCAAGAACTAACATTAGTTGAACAGTGATTAGAGTAACAATTTATTTTCAATCACCTCATGTTTGATTGATGATTTCACCTGGGTGGTGCAGGGCTACGGACTGTTCACCATAGAGGAGACAGTTCACTCACCCCAAGGAGCTCTGTTGTCCCGAGGGCCTGGAGCCTACAAGATACCCGGCTTTGGTGATATTCCTGCAGAGTTCAACGTGGCACTGCTTAAAGGAGCTCCCAACCCACGCGCTGTGTATTCATCAAAGGTATGTTCCATTACTGCATTATGGGTGCAATATTTTCATGAGTAGGAAACTGTAACAATGTTGGTGCATTGTAAATAGGGTTTACAACTTGCGATAGATTTTGTCTAGTTTGGGTTGGGACTGAACCCTGAAATAAAAAAGTGTTTAACCACTAGAAGAGGGTACAAAAATTAATGGAAACTTTCCTTAAACCACACTTGAAGTGCAAAATTATGAAACTACACATCTATTGGTTAATCAGTACTTCAGTATATAGCACTATGGACTGTGAAAATAAATTGTAGTGTATTTTTAAATATTACCATTAAAATTAATCCTCCACACAAGGTTGATAATATAAGGAAATTATTTCCACAGAGATTTATTTATTTATATTTTTATGTTTGCAGGCAGTGGGAGAGCCCCCTCTATTCCTGGCGTCGTCTGTGTTCTTCGCCATTCGGGAGGCAGTGGCAGCAGCCAGGGCGGAGGTTGGTTTCCAGGGATACTTCCGTCTGGACTCTCCCGCCACTGCTGCCCGGATACGCATGTCCTGTGCCGACCACATTGCTCAGAAGGTATTACTCTTACCTTTTAAAACTATAAAAACTATTGGAATATCAATAACAAATTTGTTACAGTGAAAATTTACTGAATTTAACTATGTATAAAGGGACGTATTTACTAGTTGTCCTCTCAAGTAGATAGCCACTTTAAAAAAATTGTATTCACATTTAACATATTTATTGGAATGATAATACCCTACAGTCTGTTTTCTGGAACATTTCACGCTTAAATAGTTGCTGGAAAGTAAATAAAAATTACGTCTTAAATAGGGGTGTGCGAAGCAGCAAAAAATTTTCGATTCGAAGCAACGATTCGATTCAAAAGATTTTCGATTCGATTCGATGCAACTCGATTCGAAGCAATACGGTATTTTTCTATTCATAATTAATTGTCAATTGAGTGGATTAACAATAAGTAAAATTTATCACATTTGTGTAATACAAATTTTTGTTGATGTGGTATTAGGCCTATTCATACTTACATATGAATTTTAGGTGAAAAAATATTTATTTTCAATCATATGTATTAGAATAACTGCTGGAAATACCAGTGAGCTGCTTTACTTGCCTATTTCATAATTTTTACTTGGAATTGGCTCAACTGCAAGAAAGAAGAAAATATTTTTTTTATCAAGACATTCATTCTCATTTTAATAACAACTGTTTAAATAACTAAATAGGTACCGGTAGCTAAATTACAACAAATTTGAATGGAACTTAATATAAAAAGACCATTAAGAAATAAATTTACATATCACAAGTTTAGGGCCTGTGGACCGGCTTCAGGACTGCAAGCAAGAAGAAAATAAAAATAATATGTTTCCACCATGCAACATGTATCATTCATTCCCTGCCTCCTAACCTCCTTAGTATAATAACCTCACACTTACATTATTTGTTACATCATCATAAATAAAGAATTATTATTGGCATCAGTAGGCCTACAGCTTTACATAGGCATTATTTTTATAGGGCCTAAAATAGTAATAGGCTAGAAGCAACATGTCAAGTGGAGAACTCATTGAAGAAAAGATATTGTGTAAACTAATTTCCTATAAAACTCAAAAACAGTAAATAACATACAAACATTGTTTATGGTATAATTAATAAGGACTAAAAAATGCATATCATGTCATATCAGTAGTATAGACCTACCGGTACTGCAAGAGATTAAAATCCTAAAACAACTGATTTTGATAGCTAATGAATGAAAAGAATTAAAAATCCATAAAATGAAGCTAAACAATATCACAACTAATTAGGTACCCGAAAAGTAACTCTTAAATAATATATAGAAGATTAAAATAATATTAAATCAAGAGACAAGAAAGTTAAATGCTATCTTCTAGTGCCCTTGGCAACACAGGTCAATGTTTTTAAACTACCCTCAATGTTTTTGGAACAGCAGGGCCTTTTTCTCTTAAGGAAGGGTAGTAGTATGTCAACAAAAACAATGAATCAGTCTCACCAGCCAGGCCCGGGCAACGATGTGTGAATTCAAGGTCATAGACCCTCCCCCTCCCCTCTTACACAACCCGGTTCCTACCCAGTTGCTTCAATTGCTGACAAAATGCAAGTGATGAAACAAGGAAGTAGAGACAAAGAAATATATTTCTTTATTCAAAAACACAAAACTGTTAGAGGTTATTTTCAAAGAAATTAATTCAATGTAATTTGTGAGTTGTAAATATTGTATTGGATCTTAGAAATATATTTTTTTAACCCTATTTAACCAAGATACAGATCTGTTCACTATATCAGATATTTCTTTTGTTTATAATTTATTATGTAAAATACTAAAATATATTTTTAATTAGGTATTGAATGAACAATAAATGATTATACTAGTATGTCTGGATAAATAGTCTTTCTATTCTTTTGACTTTGTTTTCTTTGCACTGTTAGTGTTGCGTCACGGCTTTTGTCTTGTTACTCTTATCAGTAGACGACTAGACCTGGCTCTGGCTAGTGGCAGTGCGGCAATTGCTCTGTTGTGTCTTTATTCTTAAAGGTCGTGAGCCAACTTAATTTTTAATTCTCATTTGAACATTTTAATTCCTCTGTAATAGATATAATAATATAAGAGTGTTTCTTTGGAAATAAATTATTCTTTTTTTTCTTTTGCCCCAACAAAAATTCGGGGACGGGGACCGACAGACACCTAACAAAAATACCAAATGTATCAGTCTATAACATTGATCTTACTAGTTAAGTATTAAGTAACAATTTTTCAGACTTATTTTTAAAATGATTTTGGAGTAACCTACCTTGTTTTGGCTAGGTTTACAGTAGTAAAATATTTCACACACTGCTTACATCAAGACAAAAAACAAAACCTCTAATCATTTGCAATGTCAAAACAAAAAAATATAAAACAATTAAAGCTATATTTAATGCAAAGAATGTATTAAATAAGAACGCCTTCGTAAAGGAAACGCAACAGCAACGCGCTCCTGTATTGCGGGTATTGCATTGACTTTCTGCAGGCGTTTTTCGTATATGGATACTGACTCCCTCGTGAATCGAATCGTTTTTTGACCACCACTGAATCGAATCGCGATTCGATGCATCGAATCGAATCGAATCGAAATTTCTATGCATTTTCGATGCATCGCACACCCCTAGTCTTAAATTTAATAACTTGTTCAATGCTGATCAAGAAGTTATTTAAGTTGTCTAATCATATAGTTTTACAGTCCATGCTAAAATCTAGCATCCCTAATAAAGTGACAAATCTTATTTTATTATTATTATATATTATAGTAGTAGACGTAAAGCTCTCAAAATCTAAGATACTGAATAAAGTTGGTAAACTTTAGAATATTTCCATTTTATTTGCTCACTACTTTTTAATCCTTGTTGAGAATTATATTTTTTGATCTTTTATGATAGAACAGTAATTTAATATATTTTATACATATTTCAATCTACAACGTAAAAATATATTAAGATGACTTGATAACACTAAATACCCCCGCCGCAGCAAACCTGCAGACTAAGCGAATTTCCATTTGCCTGATTGGATGATTTACACTAAAATGTATCCTAAAAAATATCACTTGTATTCCCTATTTAAATAGAATTATAACGAGTACTTAGGTTTGCTGCAACAGGTAGGGTACAAGTGTTTTTTTGTTTTTTGTTTTTTTTTATATTAATAGTTTAGTAAGAAATAAATGCATAGTCCGAATATGATCAAAATATTTTCATAAACAACCAAACTACAACATTGTACTTATTCTCCATAAAAATAACATGGGAATTTTAAATTTACAATCTTCTGGAATTTTCTCTGGAATCATTAGGCGCATAATAATGCTTCAATATACTAAATTATTTTTTTTAAGCTCTACAAAATAGTTTGGAAAGAAATTGGTAAATATATTTTTTTTTTTTTTAAGTGGGAAAAACCAATTTTTACCCCATAAATCCCCGTTCCCATAGTCCGATCATGCTGGTTCCCAAACTCGTTATTGATAAATGTAGGTTTACACGTTTATACCAAATGTCATCAAAATCGGATCATTTTTGCTTGAGTTATCGTGCTAACGGACACACATATATCATTTCATGGTACTCTGGGACTCTGGTTTTTATAAATAAATCATTTTTGCTCGATATATATATGAATTTGATCTGATGGTGTTTTTGGGCTCTAGGGACCTCAAAATGAAAAAGTAAATCGGTCCCGGGTCCAGATCTTACCATGAGTAATACGGTAATAGTTATTCCCTATATGTGAAATTCGCTGAAATAAATTGAGAGTAAACGGATTGATTTTTTCAGTTTCCTGACGCTCCCGAAGGAAAGTACAAACCTTGGAATGTGATTTTGTAAACTCTGCTACAAAACAAGGAGAATGACGGATCTGAGACCTTAGAACGGAGCTAACACACATTAGTGTTAATGGTATACAGGGTATTGTTAGGTTTAGTTTTAAAGAGGTGGTCTGAGGTGTTTCTAATGTACTATCTAAAAAAATTATAGATTATCCCGATTCCAAGAACTGTATACAGGTTTTAACTAAATGGTATGTGCTTCTAGGCCTGTGGGTTTATGAAAAATGTATACCTTTAGAAAGAATATTTTTCTCATTTTACTATGATTAATTAGGTAAAATCAACTAAGTAAATTTAAAAACCCAGAAAACTTAGGTATCTTAACAATAATGAGAAATAGCCCTAAGAGATGTGCATATCGAATATTGGAATGAGTTACTTAAGAAAAATGTCTTAAAAGATAATCATTTTGATATAAATGTAACGTTCAAGTTTCAATATAAAAGGTCATAGGAATTTTTTTCTTGGGATGGATTTCTCCAAGTTCTTTTACATGAGGCCTAAGAACAAGAACAAAATTCATTACATGACTTCTTAGAAACCAGTTCTTTATCTTTAGTGTAAAACCAGTGAGACATTTGATCAAAACTTAGCTTTATAACACTGTACATAATCTCCAAGGTTGCCTAATGCCTTACTGGTAACTGTCTCAAACACTTGATCAAATTAAGCTAGTTGGATTTTTTAAGTCAATTAGGACTTATACAAACACTATACCTTAATGGTACCACCTATAACTCCTATTAAATCATCTTAGAAGCATGATTTTAATTTTGAAAATTGAACTATAGCTTTCACTAATTTAATTATATTAAATTTGAGTACAAAGAAATTATAAAGAGTTTTATGATATTACATATGAGTACAAAGAAATTATGAAGAGCTTTATAGCTATTACCTTACAAGTGTAGTAAGAGCGTTTTTACATCACGTAGGTGAATGTTGTGCAACGAGTGGAAGCGAGTTGCATAATTCACCTAAGTGATGTAAACACGCTCTTGCGTAACGTGTAACGTACAAGATTTTACCTGACCCGACAATATACAACAGGGGGTTACGTACAATATTTTTCATTTTCCATTTCACTCATCTTCTAACAGTAACGTTCGCCAAACAAAACCTAGGTTAGGAAAATTCTTTAAAGCATAACAATAAAATTCAAGCGCACAGCTGATTTCTAGCGTTAATCGTCGTTGGCTCCATAGAGGTATATTTTTTTAAGTTGAGCACTCAATGTTATTTAAATGGGTTTCATTACTTTACCGAGTGAGTTTTTGAAACTTTACTTCACTCGTGAAGTAAAGAAATTGTATACATCACGCTTGGGATAGGGAAGTTTAACATGGCGGGTTAGGTAAAATATATTTATATCAATCTTTGTTTCAATAAATATTCCCAACAATAAAAACCGCTTTAATTTCATGTGTTATTTTATGTCATGTTGGTATAAGATTGTAATATTATTACCAGTTTTGTATGATATTGTGTATGTAAGATTATGTTTTATACCAGGTATATTTGAATGAAATTAATTTTTAGGGAATTTTATAGATTTAATGTTTAACTTTTTGTACAAACAGTGTTGATATTTTTTCTATTATATGTGCTGTAATTTTTGTCTTTCAATATTTAAAAAAAATGGGTATAACTCAAAAAGCCTATACTCATCTGAAAGAATTTAGTACTCTAAGAGTAAAATAATCGGACTATTTAATGATATTTTTATAGAAGTTTTTTATTGTTATTAATGTGTTTCAAAAATGAAAATATATGTGTAATCTATGAGTGGATACTGTTCCAGTTTATTAATCTAAATATTGACAAGTATGTTTTTTGTTGTCATAAAGATTATTATGTATGCAATATTTAACATGTTATTTTTAATAATAAAACTTATTAACTGTTAATAAAATGTCTGTATAAATGTTGTGCCAACTTCTCCTTCATACTATTGTACTTATTTCATAAGGCATTTCTTTTAAATAATGGTTGTAGTCTCTCTGAAATAGGTACCAGAGAAAAGTCTCATTGCATTTATGCATGTAATTTTCAAGATTTCTGTTTGTTAACCAACCAGTTTCGTACATTTGAAGTAGTGAAAAAACTGGAGGCAAAAAGAGTTACAAGAACGAGACATTATAAAGATAACACCAAAATAATTATTTTCTATAAATACTAGCAGAATAATGACAATTTAGGTTTAGTTATTGTCTTTATGTCTGACCGAACGCAAAACAATGTTTTGAGCATAGGGTTAGGGTTATCCAAATCCGGGAAAAGGAAAAGGGAGCCTATTTTTTGACACATGAAAAAAGGAATTTGATAATGTTGGGAGAAAACACTCTTTTCAGCTAGGATAAAAGAGTGGCTCTTGATCGCCAATCAGTTCAACACAATCGATAATCACATACCTAGAGACACGCCTTTACTAAAAACCTTGTGGGATAACCTAGGCATAACGTTTTAATAGTTCATATCTAGTAATAAAATAAATTTCGTCGGTTATTTTTAACATCAAATTAACAAAAATTCTGGGTTATTAAAATTATTAACCCTTTATCTTATCAGCTATGAGTTTGGTGAACAACAGGCAACGTAGTCTATGTAAAACCCGGGGGTAACCCATTTGGCCTTTCCATATAAACTTAAAACTTAAAGCCAGCTGATATTTACTTAACGAAAGATTAACCAAATTAACTGGTCAAAATTGGGCAGTTAATTATCTAACTAGTTAGTCTAAACTAGCTCCAAAGGCAAGTGGTGAATTTCGATTTCGTCAGATAAGACTTAACTGCGGTTGGAGCATGGTTTAACACGAGTTTAATTGTTTGGTGAAATCGGGCCTAAGGCTGTTAAAGGAAAGCTGTTTTAAGCTCTTTATATTTTTTTATTGAACTTCGATGAAGTTCGAGACTACAAGGCTAGTGACACACTCAAGTTTCTTAATTATATAATTTTGGGTCAAATCGTTTGTCGGACCTTACAAAAAAGTTATTAGCCTTCAAAATATATTCTTTTTTGTTTGGAGATAAAATCCTTTTAAAAGGAATAGGTCAAGTTAAGACAGCAAAACCTACTAAAAATCAAATGAGACATGTAAATTCAGTGGGACCTTTTAGGAGAATTTCATATCGTTGAATTGTTTACTGTAGCTTAACTAATATCCTGATTTGAAATATCATGGTTTAGTTTAAAAACAATTTCCACAAATTTTTAATTGAATTACATACCCTACTGGTAAGTATTTTATCATTAAAAATGTGATCTAATAGTTAACAGCCTGTTTAAAATTTAACTCGATATTTTGTGAAAAAGTATATACATTTTACATACATACATGTGCTATATATTATACATTAACACTATTCGTATCACCTTTGTACAAAAATATGAATAAAGAATATGAATACATTTACTGTGAAACTCCCAAATCCAGCAGCAAACTTTTGAAAGGGATTATCCACTTATCTGGAAATCTGTTCACTCAAAACACAACTTAAATTGTTATCCTGTTTTGTTCTATCCTGTTCTATGTTTGTTTGGCCCATTCTATATTCAGAAGCTTGATTGTACAAGTAGTACATGTTTATAAGATAAAGCAAGTGAAAGTTTAATTTTCTCAACTATTGGTTTTTCTTGAAGTAAATAGGCACAGTGTATCTCACAATTGTGCACTGTTATTGTGTATAGTAGATAAGGTATTAACTATTGCGGAGGCACAGTTAGTAAAACAAGTGAAACTGTTAATTGCGTCAATAAACTAGGTTATCTAACTTGGTCTTGCACAACTGAACTGATCCAATTATGGATATTGATATACAACAACGTAAATATTCAACGTTAATTCTCTTTGTTAATGGAAAAAAGGTAAGTGGCTTTATATACTAAAGTTAAGTAGTAATAGATTGATTGCAATTCAATTGTGTTGCTGTTTTATCTTATTTTAGTTCAGTTTTTCATCAGAATTTATTCATGTTTTACTTTGTAAATGTTTGAATCTATATTGATGTGACATTTTATACATTCCTTTTACTTCTTTTAACTTTTAATGCAATACATTCTTGCTTAAACACTTTGTAAAAACTTAAAATTCTAAATATTTGATTTAGATTGTGTAATTTTTTACAAATTTGACATTTTTACTTACGTTACAAGTTACGTGATGTGTCAGTACTACAAAAAGACCTTAGAAAATTCTCCTCATTTTCGTCCTGCAAGTCGAAAATCAAGAGATTGTATTCCCTTTGCCATGCCATGTTTTTTTATAAATTCCTGCATTGCCTAAAAACCAATGTTTTTTAAAATTAATTAACTCCATGCGCCTGAAGCTACTACACAAACTCTAGTTTTTAAAAAGGTGTATATTGTAATAAACTAACTTGCTCAATGACTATTTCCAATCACATGGTTTATAATTAATTAAATCATGTGTATGATTGTTTTATCTTAAAAAAACAGTTTCTGTAAACACAGTTAATAATAAAGTTTAGCAACTATTAAACAATAACATTTTCTTGCTTTATTTAAAAGTATAGGATATTTTTAATGAGGCAACTAGCTTTCCCTTTCCCTCTTAAAAGGTAGTTAATCATACCAATTTTTACTTACATAGTGTTTTAGAATATTCCAAAAAGTCATAAGTACTATTTATCAATATTTGAATATCGAGATATTACTTAACGAAGGCCTATGTTAAGCCTATGTGCAGTTTGCATAAAAAAAGATAATAGTTTTTGATTACTAGTACCAAAAACTAAACTCAATATTTTTATTTAGCTGTTAGTAGTTTACATTTAAATCCCCCATCAAACACATGTTTAAACAAATTATCACAAAATCTTTTTGCTGAGGTGGTCGTTATAATGAAGTTAATTTATGTAAATTTCCACCTTAACCTTTTCTGCTAGCGTATTTTGGAAAATTTAATACCAAATAATGATTGAAGTACCTTGAAGTATAATGAAATTAAAATTAAGTACTGTACTTTGAGATTTGTTTTCTAGATTAAGAATAAAATGAGTCTGAAGTACAGTTAGGCCTAGTATCATTTTGTAGTATCATATTTAAAAAAAGTCTATAAATAAGAATGTTTTATTTTAAATTAGTGGTAAACAATCTACAGTTTATTTTTAGGTAACTTAATCTGTATCTGTCTTTGATTAATGTCTGACGTCATATTTATTTGCGAGTCTTCTTTCTTTCAAGATAAATCTGTTTTGATGATTACATAGTTTTTTTAGACTTGATTGAACCATTATCATTTTTATATCATTTAATCTTTTGCCAGTTTTATATAAAAGTTGAGGTAGTTTAATTAAGTCGCAGACTGAAATTTTGGATATTTGTCAATACTTTACGCAAACTTTATAACCAAGCCAATTATAAAAGATGACTTGTTGTAAACTAAGGCACCTTTTATGGTCACATCAAATGTCTTAGTGTCAAAAAAAGGAGAAAAATGTGAGGGGCTAATTCAAGTAAGCTCTACTTGAACAATGTAATGGCTAGCTGATATATGTAGTTGGGATGTCTTCAGTATCTAAATAGTCTAGTTCTAATGTCTTCCACTCTTTTACATTCTATCTCATGAAAATAATTAGCATTCATGCCAAACAGCTTTTTTTTGTCTACGCTGATGGTATATTTTTAAGAGGAGATGACATAGAGTGATATTCAAACCCTTGTTGGAAAGTGCTCCAAACCCATATACTTTGTGGGGCTGTGGACGTGCTGGGAATCAAACCTAAATAGAAAATTGAACCCTAATATTAAATCAAATTGAATTATGTTTTTAATTTAATTGCATTATGGTTGTGTTTACAATAAATACATTGTTCATTATTTTCAACTAGTATCTTTGACTATTAAGTAAGTGTATATACAGGGTGTTTTTTTAAAAACTTGCATCTTTATTTATGTAAAAACCGCAATAGATAGAAATATGAAGTTTGCGGGAATCATCTATTGACGTAGGGGGACCAATTGTTTTGAATTCAACGTTACATTCACATTCCCCCCCTTTCCCCCCCTGCCCCCAACTTATTTTTTTTAAATAGCAAGGTACCCCTTGTGACATATCAAATAAAATAGCATAAAAAAAGAAAATGTTTGATGAAAAAAAATTGAAAATCGGTTCATAAATTTGTGAGATATTCCCCCCTCACCCCCCCGGAACTTAATTTTTTTTTTAATAGCAAAGTACCCCTTGAGACATATCAAATGAAAGAGCATGAAAAAAGAAAATTTTTGGTGAAAAAAAATTTAAAATCGGCTCATGAATTTGTGAGATAATCACCCCCCTTTTCCCCTACCCATAACTTGTTTTTTAATAGCAAGGTACCCGCCCTTGTGACATATCAAATGAAAAATAAATTTCACCAAAATTTTTCTTTTTTCATGCTCTTTCATTTGATATGTCACAAGGGGTACTTTGCTATAAAAAAAAAATTAAGTTCCGGGGGGGTGAGGGGGGGAATATCTCACAAATTTATGAACCGATTTTTAATTTTTTTTCATCAAACATTTTCTTTTTTCATGCTCTTTTATTTGATATGTCACAAGGGGTACCTTGCTATTTAAAAAAAATTAAGTTGGGGGCTGGGGGGAAGGGGGGGAATGTGAATGTAACGTTGAATTCAAAACAATTGGTCCCCCTACGTCAATAGATGATTCCCGAAAACTGCATATTTCTATCTATTGCGGTTTTTACATAAATAAAGATGCAAGTTTTTAAAAAAACACCCTGTATATATGTGCGTTTGTTTACTAATTTAACGTATAGTGGTTTAAATTACCTTGTTCTGTCCAAAACGATCCTATGTAGTTCGTAGTGACTACAGCTGTTTCGTGCTGCAGGAGCACATCTTCAGGTCGGGAGAATGTCAAGCAGTCA